TTTTAATTTTTGAAAGGAAATTAAAAGGATTATGAGCAGGCCAGATAAGACTCTAATTTCCATTCGAATAGGAAAAACAACAGAACAGCGGGTCAGATTCCAGTATGAGGAACATCTGAGAACTTGTGTAATCTGCTCACAATCGGATTCAAAGGCTTCCAAGCCTAGGCTCAGAGCAGCAGGCAAGTTACAGAGACAGAAAGAAAGCCAGGCTACTTGGGACTCAGGGGATGGTCTCTTGATTGTGACCAATTTCAGAGGTTTTGCAAACTTCGTTTTTTTTTGTTGTTGTTGTTTTTATTGAGACAGAGTTTCACTTTGTGGCCCTGGGTAAAGTGCTGTGGCATCATCATAACTCATAGCAACCTCCAACTCTTGGGCTTCGGTGATTCTCTTGCTTCAGTCTCCCAAGTAACTAGGACTACAGGCATCAGTCACAACGCCCGGCTTTTTTTTTTTTTTGTAGAGATGAGATTCTCACTCTGGCTCAGGCTGGTCTCAAACCTCTGAGCTTAGGGCAATCCATCCACCTCAGACTCCCAGAGTGCTAGGAGTACAGGCGTGAGCCACCACACCCAGCCATTTTTGTTTTTTGTTTTTGAGACAGAGTCTCATTATGTTGCCTTGGGCAGAGTGCCCTGGCGTCACAGCTCATAGCAACCTCAAATTCTTGGGCTTAAATGATTCTCTTGCCTCAGCCTCCCAAGTAGCTGGGACGCTCAGCTTTTTTTTTGTTGTTGCAGTTGTCATTGTTTGACAGGCCTTGGCGGGGTTCGAAACTGCCAGCTCCAGTGTATGTAGCTGGTGCCCCAGCCACTGAGCTAAAGGTACCAAGCCAGTTTTGCCAACTTTGATCATCAGTTGTTTTACATATGTTTTATTAGAGCTATAAATATAATATGACCTCTCTAAAAGTGAGCGGCTCAATGATTTTTTTTTTTTTTTGAGACAGGAGACTCAAGCTGTCCCCCTGGGTGAAGTGCCATGGCATCATAGCTCACAGCAACCTCCAACTCCTGGGCTCAAGCAAGTCTCCTGCCTCAGCCTCCTGAGTAGCTGGGAC